TTTAAACAAAAACGCCAGAACAAGGAAAAAAGCCAAAAAACCCAACATATCAGTGTGTTATACACCATCGTCAGAATCCTATAGTAACTACATCTAAAATTTCGGTTCGAGCCTGCGTCCCTATTACAAAGACAGACCAGTTAATGTTGATTAGGAAAATAACAGATGCCGACTGTGAGAGTCATTCATAAATGCAATGCGTGGTCAAAGTACAAGCGATTTCATTTATTATTATTATTATTTTACTAAACTGACACTAACTATACTATACTGGCCGCGTCATAGCTCAAGCGGTTAGTCGCTGGCTTCCCACCGTGGCGGCCCGGGTTCGATCCCGGGTCTGGGCAAGTGGAATTTGTGGTGAACAAAGTGGCGCTGGGGCGGGTTTTCTCTGAGTACTTCGGTTTCCCCTGCCAATCTTCATTCCACCAAATTCTCTATCATCATAATCACCCGGGGCAGGCTAGAATAGGCCAATCAGTGGCCACCGCGCCGAGTGGACCCAGTTGGACTCCACCCCTCACTAAGCGAACTAGACTACACAGCATAGAAAGGTAAATTGATAGACTGATGACGAATTTGAGAGGATTTTGAAGGAAACGGCTCTGGCCTAATAGCAGCATTATCCTGGAGAGAGTGAGGAAAACCGCGAAAAATGGCCAGGCGAGCCAGTGTCCCGACAAAGATTCGAACCTAAAAATTTCCCAAATATGGGCCTACAGCATTGCCGCTACGACAGCACGTTCCGCTTTTTTAAAGTTAAAGTTTTGCCTGAAAGGGTTACAGGTTTACGGACACTCCGTATTACAATAGGAATATACGGAAAGCACATGAAGTTCTTCGCTACGGCCACGAAAACTGGATGTACCACTGCAGTGCAGGTTAACGGCCTCAGCAACTTACAACCTTACTAACTCAGTGGATAAAGTGGTCAGGTTGTCGTTTTGAAGATAGAGGGGAGAAGGCGGTGCTTGACGTGGGGACCCGAGGCATGGAGCCCTGGGGACCTGCATATAACAACGTGGAAGAGGCATCACTTCGTTCACATAACCTGAGGAGCAGGGCGAAACAGCGCGCGATGGGAACGGCGGTTGCAGGTAAGAGTCGGGCTGTTCACCCACAGTTTGCATGCGAGCAGTCGGAACATCTCTGCATTACCGACCATGATTTTATTAACACTTTCCATGTCACGAACTAGATTTCTCGTTGGCATACAGTAGCCAGTTCTGATGTGAATAACTATGGTGTTTGATTCAGTGAAGCTTGAAGAGGGAGAAAATAAAATAGACACGCCGAAGGTCTGTACGTCAATTCGTGCATGGATATTATCTAGAGACTGAGCAGTGTTCACTAGCCTGGGGGTTAAGGGGGGGGAGGATTTATTATTTAACGTTAGGCTGTAGGCAGGACTGTAGTCTATGCAGGACGGTGCAAGGCGACGCCCCGACAGACAGGCTCCGATCTCAAATTCCCTAAATCCTTGACATCCTCAGGCTCTGATCTCACATTCCCTCAATCCTTGACATTCTCAGGCTCTGATCTCTAATTCCCTCAATCCTTGACATTCACAGGCTCTGATCTCTAATTCCCTCAATCCTTGACATTCTCAAGCTCTGATTTCTAATTCCCTCAATCCCTGGCATCCTCAGGCTCTGATCTCTAATTCCCTTAATCCTTGACATTCTTAGGCTCTGCTCTCTAATTCCCTCAGGCTCTGATCTCAAATTCCCCCAATCCTCGACATTCTCAGGTTCTGATATCTAATTCCCTCAATCCTTGACATTCTCAAGCTCTGATTTCTAATTCCCTCAATCCCTGGCATCCTCAGGCTCTGATCTCTAATTCCCTTAATCCTTGACATTCTTAGGCTCTGCTCTCTAATTCCCTCAATCCTTAGCATCCTCAGGCTCTGACCTCTAATTCCCTCAATCCTTGGCATTCTCAAGCTCTGGTCTCTAATTCCCTCAATCCTTGGCATCTTCAGTCTCTGATCTCTAATTCCCTCATTCCTTGACATTCTCAGGCTCTGATCTCTAATTCCCTCAATCCTTGGCATTCTCAGGCTCTGGCTTCAAATATCTCCAATCTCTTTGTTCCTTCAGCCCCCTTTAAAGAGCATGTCATGGCAGCTGTGAATGCGTAGTCTCGATGCAAAGACGTCCATTGCGTGCCGTGATGAGTACAAATGATCGTCAGTGAGGACGGTAATGCACGGATGTTACACGAAAGGAGGTTCAGGGTGTGGTCAGTGCTGGAGGTAACGGCTCTGGCACTCTGGGTCACGCGAGGGCGTTTACATGGCAACCCGTCTTCCTGTCCTGACCGTATTCTTGCGACCTATAATCCTAAACGGAAATAACGGCAAGCACGTGTAGCAGAATACAGTTAACTACTAATGAGAGTTCTTATCCATCCACCGCGATGCATTTGTAGACAAACAAGAGTCGTATGTGACATGTGAAGTAATCATCAGGACGGTGGCTATGAAAAATACTATCTTCTGGAATGAGAGGTCGTGCAGACTGGTAGAGGTTGTTGTCTCCATTGTCAGGATAGAAGAATAGATCCAGCACCTACGATTTAGACTTAGAAACTCCCGTGGCCTGTAATCCGCGAGAGAACTATACCGACCGAGCGACCGCCGCTTGTCGGCGAAGTTAGTGCCAACTTTAGCGAATAGAGGGTGTCACGTGGAGAGCGCAATGTTTCCCCACGGCCGTTCATCTCGGTTTTCTAGACCAGAGCGACTATTTGCTTGAAATAGCTCCTCAATTATCCTCACGAGTCTGAGTGGACCCCGTTCCAGAGCCAGTACTTCTCAGAAAATTTGGTAGTGCCGGGAATCGAACCCGGGACCTCTGGATCTGTAGCCAGGAACTCTGCCCGCTAGATCACAGAGGCAGTCTTTAGACTTAGAAGCTTAGTTTATTTTTCTTACTATCTTCTGGAATGAGAGGTCTTGTATACTGGTAGAGGTTATACGGTATTTTTCGAGGAACGTGTTGTCTCCATTGTCAGGATAGGAGAATAGATCCAGCACCTACGATTTAGACTTAGAAACTCCGTGGCCTGTAATCCGCAAGAGAACTATACCGACCGAGCGACCGCCGCTTGTCGGTGAAGTTAGTGCCAACTTTAGCGAATACAGGGTGTCACGTGGACAGCGCAATGGTTCCCCACGGCCGTTAATCTCGGTTTGGTAGGGCCGGGAATCGAACCCGGGACCTCTGGATCTGTAGCCAGGAACCCTGACCACTAGACCACAGAGGCGGTCTTTAGACTTAGGAGCTTAGTTTCTTTTTCTACTTTGAGTAAGGAGGCAACATCGTCTTACGAGACGTTAGCGTAAGTCTTCAATACTACATGATGTCATGTATCACATGACAATATCCTTAAAGTGTAGTTAAGATATTGTGGCATGTAGACCCGTTGCTAGGCAACGATCGCAAAATGAGTGCGTTACAAGAGCCATTTGTAAGTAAACGCTCCGTCAACAGAAACGAACGTAATAATTCCACGGCAACAAGGGAACGGTGTTTTCTACGCGGTCCGTGCCGAGTTCTCATAAGCAGGATAAGTTAGTCGCTGCAAGGATCCGGTAACTGAGGCCGGGAAGAGTCCGGGAATACAGAGGAAGGGGATGTCCGCTTTTGGAAGCCGCTACCGAGCAACAGCTTGTGAAGACGTGACTGTAGACACTAGGATTAGTTTGTGTGTGTGTAATAGTGAATTGTGAAATGTATTCACGATCTGTAAGCAATTACCAATCCGAACAGCGTCTGTAGTCACTCTGTTATCGTGACAATACATTCTGTGGTATGCAAAAGCGCTCCATACCTCACTGGCTTTGTTGTGACTTATTAAAGATGAAAACTTTGTTGAGAAGTTAATCGCAATATACACACACACACACACACCATATTCCACAAAATCAGAGCATTTTTATAGTCTTCATTTGTTAAAATTTCGCCGTATCGAAAAAGGTTCAAAACAAAAGTTGCTTATGCAAATTAGATCTACAATTTGTCATAGCAATGTTGTATTTTAGCGTCCTGTTGCACTGATTTTCATCCATGATACGTATGTAATGGCCGTCTTGTAGTGCACTCAGTTTCATATGTCACTTCACTACATGTTTCGGCAACATAGTGCCATCTTCAGGTTCGTTATTTACGCTAAGCTATTACATTGTTTGCCATCTTGTGTCTTTCATAAAATTATTTAGGAAGTACATTATTCGTCAACTATAATAAAATTTGTATATACTAAAACTTGTTAAGATTATTCATCTATATGTCTTAGTTCAAACTCGCGTATAGTATAGTCCGTCCACTATGGGAGTCGTTTCTGTGTGTACTGTGTCTGTGATGTGTCCTTCCTTTTTGGCTGCGAGCGTTGTAATGTTGGATATGTGTGTCTTCGTATTGATCAATACTCTCATAGTGGACGAACCATACTATTTTTCATACCAAATTTTCACAAGATGCGCCCTTTTTGAAGAGAAAAATATGTGTATAAATTTAGATTTAAGATGATGGTATTAGTCCTACAATATGACACAGTTTATTTTGGTAAATAGCTAGCGACGTTTCGGAAGAACTTACTAATTATATTTTCAGGGCATTTCTCCTTACTCTGAAGATGAAATGGAGGCTATCTGTTACACCGAACCATTGGTACCCATCTACCAAACTACATGGCGTTACGCCACACAGAACCGTAATCAACATTCGACACCGTGAGAGCCACAAACGAATATTTCACAAAGTTAGATTAGATTTTCAAATAAAGCAGGGGTACATAGCCATGGGTAAGTAGCCGGGATAGCTCAGTCGGTATGGGGACGGGCTACGGGCTGGACGGACCGGGTTAAAGATTTTTCTCTTCTCCTCGGCATCAAGACCTGCTCTGGGGCCCACCCAGCCTCCCACACAAAAGGTACCGGCGACGATTTCCCTGGAAGTAGAGCGGCAGGGGCGTTAAATTTACCCATTACCTCAATCAAGTTCCATGGTCAAGAATGGTGGAGCTGACCTCCACGCCCCCACATATCTTTACGGCATAGTGCTTAACTAAGTAAGCGCAGAGACAACTTGTACTGGGTAGCGTAAACCAAGAATTAAATTCGCACCAAAACAAACTTGACGGCTGACAGACTTCAAAACGCTTCTACCTGAGGAAACGGACAATGACAAATGCATCGTACGCGATTCAATTTAAAGGTAAAACTTCTCTTTATCTAAGCATCATGCCGTGAAGGCGTATGGGGGGCGTCGCGTTTTAACTCTCCATGCGTTATCAATAATTCGGGATTAAGTGGCGAGTTGCTTTGCGTCATGAGAAGCTGGATCTCGGTGTCGGTACGAGGAGAGAAACCGCAACGCTATAACTAGGATTCAAACCCTTACCACCGTTCGTTATTTCTTACTTTCGCCGAGAATTATTTTAGCTATGCATGCTAATTAAATTAGGCTGTGTTTTGTAAAGCAGAATCCAAATCCATTTTCATTTCTATCCTTAGAAATCACCAATCCTTTCGACTGTTAACTTTGACTTAAAACATACTGTCACGTGTATATTTCTGACTCTCGACGAGGTTTTGGATTTGATATTGTGTTTATCGACCACTTATACACACGACTCGGAACTACAAGCAATTACAGTGCCACCGCTAATCTCAACAATTCAAAAGTTACCACAGCACCCGCTAAGCCTTTTCCAGCCTGTTGTCTTCACCAGCCGTCGCCTGGTAACGACTTCTAACAGTGTAGTTCCTTTAGCTTCCGCGCTCAAGTCCTCTCTGAACGGCGGCTCCCTTCCAACTACCTCTTTTATTCACAGACTCCAGTAAAGAACTGTCTCGTTTGCCCAAGCGGTTACGTATTTACCGAGCCGTTGCCTACAAACGAATGTTGTTCCAGAGCCGTTCGGTAGAAACGTCTGCTTCTCTGGTTCCACAGTTATTGCTTTGAGCAAATATACCTCATTATGCAAGTTTAACAATAATTACTTTTTCTAATGAATGTTGCTGTCGAGTGGTTACCACTAGTCCTGGGTTCAGATTCCGGCACTATATCTGACTATATGTTTAATGCTGTTCGTGCTTTACTCCAGTCCTTCCAGGCAAATGCCTGAATAGAACTGCAACCTGGATTATCACTGCCTCCTTCCACGTTCTTTCCAGATTCATTATTTAATCCTCATCCTACCGTTCGGCCTTCAGTGTGAGCTGTTGACAAAATCATTATTCAAAATAGAATAAAACAACATTACGTTTGTTTTGCAGGAATATTCGTAGCCTTGCTGTTAAGCTCAACTCTCGCATCACCCTACAAGAGGGCAGAAGTTGGCAGGACACATACTGTAAATAATTTTGTAGGAGAAGGTACCAATGAACTTGCCACAGCAATCCTACAGGTACTGTACCTTTCCTCATAATGATTTTGGGGATACGTTTTCAAATGGGCGCACTTGGAACACCCAAAACTTTGAAGATCATAATTAACATAGTTCTACTGCGCCCAAATTATGAATATGGGAAGTGGATAGTACTACTATGTTGATTCTGAAGTTCTTAGAACCGTCATTATGAATATTATTATTTTTTTTTGCAAGTGACGCGGTGTAGTCCAGTAATGTTAGTCGATGTTTCGGAGGAACATAATGCCACAATTTTCAGGGTCGGAGAGTAACCTCCAAAAAGCAACGTAATCTAAGCTTCACGATTGTTTCTGGAATGTCGCTTGCTTGGCTCATTCTCCGACTCGACAGATTAAGGCAATAAGTCCCTCCGAAACGTATGTGAATTTCTACCCAACTACACGGTATCGCACTGGATGTAACTAGTTCAGGACCAAGGGGATTCTTAATTTTCGACATATTTTTAATCCTTTCAAGACAGAAAGTTTATACAGTGACATCACCGAATAGTGTAACAAAAGACGCCATACATTCCTAGGCAATGGCACAGTAAACACGCTATTACATCATCAAACAAGCGATTGCTACGCAACGGATGACGTTTCTTGTTAAAGTATTTGGTCATGTCACAATATACTAGTAAATAATATTTAAAAATTCATTCCTTCTTGGCAGGAAACACAACACATCTCCATTAAAGCTGTTTAAGAATATGATAGTAGCTGCTTAACGAGGAGCTTCATAACTTGTACTTTTCACCAAATATAATTAGAATGATCAAGGAGGATGAGAAGAGCAGGGCATGTAGCACGAATAAAAGGGAGAACAGGAACGCATATAGGATGTTAGTGGGAAATCCAGAAGGAAACAGACCTCTAGAAAGGCCAAGACGTTATGTGGGTGGACAATATTAAAATGGATCATAGAAAAATAAGATGGGATGGTATCGACTGGATCGATCTGGCTCAAGACAGGGACCAATGGAGGACTCTTGTGAACACGGTAATGAATCTTCGGGTTCCATAAAATGCTGGGAAGATCTTGAATAGCTGCACAACTGGAGGGTCTCAGTAGTTTAGTTAGTTAATATTAGCTATTTAATATTAGAATCACATGAAACCCATAAACAGTTTTCAACAGAACGAGAAGTTTTTGCGTGTTAACTCATGAAGTGCATGCAGCAATCATTGTGCTGTAATCCTTCAAAGCCCAAAATTATTTCAAAAATATTTAAAAATCCATTTCTTACTTCACAGGAAGCACAATGTGTATTCATCATAAAATCCAGCCGGTTACTGAAGATGGAGAAATAATTGTCTTTTTATCTGAGAATCTCAAGAAATACCTAAATACGCTCTGTGGACAAAATGCAGATCTTTTAATACTTATATTAAATTATGTGACACTTGTAACTAATCAGTTTTACAGGGAACTTTAACTAATGTTAATGTACACGTAACAGGGGTACGTGGATTTGGAATCAAACTTAGCCTTCTCTCCGTTGGGGTACTCAGCTCTGCTCGCTGTCCTGGCGGAGGGTGCACGTGGAGGTACTAGACAACAGATCGCCAATGCCCTACACTTGCCCGAAAGAACCGAGGTTACCAGAAACGCCTACAAAACCGTACTGGAGCGTCTACACGTAAGTGCAGATGTAAGGACAACTGAATTGCTCAGCAAAATGAAACCCCGTACTCCAAGGATTTCTAAGAAGACACACATGCATTGAGTGCACCTTCCCAATTCTATCGTAAAACGAAACACGTCATTTAGGGGGCTCGCTCTGCTGCCATTTTCATGAAAAATTAAGAACTTATCTGTTAGATATGTTAAACAAGACTGCTATCTATACTCGGACGAGCCCAGGTTCGATGGAAAGTGCCCTCTATTTGTCAGTTTGACACAAAACCAACCACGTCCGTAAAAACGCAAATTTTCCCCTGCGGTTAAATCGAGCACCATTCTGTGTTGTATGGAGGCGTGGAGATACAATTCCATGTACTATTCTTAGCCTAGGCCATTCGGTGTAAAACAGTGGTAAGCTTCACACTCCGACTACTTTACCCCAGCGACGACAGCTTCTCCACTAATTAGTCTGGGGTTCGGTGGGCTCCAGTATGGGAGCTCTACAGAAAGGAAAAATTTCTTTCCCCTGGCAGGCACTGAATGCCAATTCCTCTGTCTCCCATTTCACAACCCAGTCAATACACCAAGATATGAAGACTTAGCCTGTCTCTTACATACCTTTGATAAATTTAATAAAGGCTTATACCTCCGAGAGGCAGTTAGAAAGTAAGTTTATGACCGAGGTTTGTTTCCTGGCAAGGGAAGAAATTTATTTCTTCGCTACCCCTGTCCAGGTTTGCTGCGGGGTATCTTGGTATCTTATTCAATTTTTTCCGGGGGCAATTTCCCCCGTGATAAATCGGCCGGAGTCCGGGTGAAGCTGACTATTCGCCTGCATCTAATACCTAGGTTAAGTATACGTCCTCATGGCGTGGTTCTTAATTAAGCAGTGGAAAAATTTTAAACTTCCAGGCTTAGTGAGCAGAGCCGTCGAGAAGAGACACATGTATGAACAATGTTGGAATGGGTTTTAAGATTACTGTCATTTGGCATGTGACGCCATACAGTCGGGTAGATAGGTGCTGACTTCTTGGAGGAACCAAACAAATGGGGAACTTCGGATGTAAGTCAGGGAAGGACGGCGGCGTCGCCCCCTACAAAACCCAATGTTCCTATTTTGAACCTCGGACATTATGTACACTGATTTTTGACACTGCTGTTCCACTAATAATCTAGAGAACTGCAATTTGGTGATTCGGATGTTTGTATGTCGAACAGGAAAAGGATTCGGTAAGCCATCCAGAATTCCGGAATTGGTTCTACATCTACAAAAACTTTACTGTGGAGCCAGATTTCAAGGCCGTTCTTCAGCAGTACTATCTGACCGAGGTTAGAGATGTGGATCGCCTTGACATGAACGCGGTCACGCAACAGGCAGAGGCTATGGACGCGCCTGAATCTGTCCAGGTTGTTGTTGATGCCCCTGTACAGGAAGAAAGCATGAACGAAATGAAACCAGACAGACAAGAGAGTGACGATTCAATGACATCCGAGAAGTTGAAAGACCCTATTCTGCCTGAAGACGGAAAAGAAACAATAATTCCAGCAGAAAGTAATGAAGGTGATAACATGTCAGAGAAGGTAGAGAACCCGATGACCTCCTCTAAGTTGGAGGAAATTATGCAAGTATCTGAAGATGATGTTGACACAAAACGAAATAAAGGTGGCCCTTTGAAGATTGTTTTCCCCATTCCTTTCCCAGAGAAACTGAAAATGCGGAAGATGTATGATGAGAGGGAAGCTAGTCCTTCTGGTGCAGTCATGACAATGCAAGAAGAAATGTTGGGAACGAAGGAAGAGAGCGCTGACGACAAGAAGAAAGATGAGAGAATAGAAGGAATGAAACATGATATGATAGATGATGGAAAGAAAGAGGAAATGAAAGAGAAGGAGTCACTGATTGAGGACAAGCAAATTGCAAATGATGATAAGAAAAAAGAAAAATTATACGAAATTAAGGATGAAATAAAACATGACAAAATTGAAGAAGATAAAAACATGGACGTTAATAAAGAAGAGAAAAAAGACGATAAATTGGTGGATATGAAATATGATAAAATTGAGGCAATGAAAGATGATAAAATGGAAGCAATGAAAGATGACAAGGTGGAAGGAATGAAAGATGATAAAATGGAAGCAATGAAAGATGACAAAATGGAAGCCATGAAAGATGACAAAATGGAAGGAATGAAAGATGACAAAACGGAAGCAATGAAAGTTGACAAGGTGGAAGGAATAAAAGATGATAAAATGGAAGCAATAAAAGATGACAAAATGGAAGTAATGAAAGATGACAAGATGGAAGCAATGAAAGATGACAAAATGGAAGCAATGAAAGATGACAAGATGGAAGGAATGAAAGAAGACAAAATGGAAGCAATGAAAGATAACAAGATGGAAGGAATAAAAGATGATAAAATGGAAGCAATAAAAGATGACAAAATGGAAGCAATGAAAGATGACAAGATGGAAGGAATGAAAGATGATAAAATGGAAGCAATAAAAGAAGATAAAATGGAAGCAATGAAAGATGAAAAGATGGAAGCAATGAAAGATGACAAAATGGAAGCAATGAAAGATGACAAGATGGAAGGAATGAAAGAAGACAAAATGGAAGCAATGAAAGATAACAAGATGGAAGGAATAAAAGATGATAAAATGGAAGCAATAAAAGATGACAAAATGGAAGCAATGAAAGATGACAAGATGGAAGGAATGAAAGATGATAAAATGGAAGCAATAAAAGAAGATAAAATGGAAGCAATGAAAGGTGAAATGCTGATAGATGAAAATAAAGAAAACGACAAGAAAGTTGAGACGCCTGAAGGAGTCAAAAATGAAATGATAAAGGATGACAGTAGGGAAGAAGAAATCATGACGAAAGGCAAGGATAAAGAAAGCGAAGCCATGATGGCCGGAAACAAGATGGTGGTAGCAGAAAGAAAAGCCAGGCATCTCGGTTTGTCTCGACTGAGTCGTCGGTCTCTTCAGCCTGGTGACGTCATATCAAGCATCTCCAGCAACAACATCAAAAGTAAGTCCATTTTCAAGTAGCAGATCGGTATTTCCAAACCAATTTTCATGTCCTTTGAAAGAAAATTGAAATTACCTTAATTGGGTGTAAAATTGGTCACTCAGTGCGAACTGTTTACCTCTCAAACAAAAATCTAGAATATGCTCGTAGATTAAGGTGACTTAAGAAGTAACACTTCTGAATATTAATCTATGGTGCCTGGTTCGAATCTCGGCCGGTACACTGACTCTCCTGACCGAGAGTATTCCTCCTTTTTTTTTCAGTCCCACCAGGCAAATGCTGAGAAAGTACTTAAACGTAAGCCCATACCGTTTCCTTCCACTAACTGACTCCATGGAGCTGAGCCCTTCTTGAGAATCCGTCAGTTGTGCAGCTACTCAAGAACTTCCCAGCATTTTGTGGGACCCGAAGGTTCATTAGAGTGTTCAGATGAGCCCTCCACTAGTCCCTATCTCGAACCAGATCAATCCAGTCCATACCACCACAACCTAAGAACCATTTTAATATTATCCAACCACCTATATTTTGCTCTCTTTTCGTTCTGGCCTTTCCTATATGCATTCCACTTCTCCTATTCGTGCTACATGCCCTGTTCACCTCATTCTCCTTGACTTCCTCCCACATTCTTTCCAGTTCATTGTTCACTAGTCATTCTAAAATTCAATGCTATAATCTACAGTTGCAGCTACTGACAGTATCATGAAAGAAATAAGCACGTAGAAGGTTGCCGCTACAACAGCCTGTTCGGCGCAGATACTGGAAATCTGCTATTGCACACAGTCAAACGAATTGTACGGTCGTGGCCAACTGTTTCAGGCAAGCCTGTCTCTCAGCTGCTGATATTCAACGGTATGTACTTCAAGGGGACCTGGGCTACGCCATTCAGAGATCAGAAGGATTCATTCTACAAGTCCGACAGCGAGAAGAGCACAGTCACTATGATGAACACAAAGGGCAAATTCAGAGTGGGCAATGTGCCCGAGCTGGACAGCGTGGCAATTGAGTTGCCCTACAAGGTACCATTCATATATTACCATATGGCAGGCAAATAAATTAGGACCCGCGAAAAAATTTCAATCCTGTTAGAGACGATGTTTTGAAAAGAAAACACTTTTCTAACAATTTTTAGTTTCTTACGTAATGTAAATTGATTATCATATATTTATAGCATTCTTTAGAATATATTCTTTAGAATATATGTTAATCGATATAAAAAATGCTATAATTTTTCCCAAATCACTTCCGTAAATTCGCCGTACACAGTGAAACTCAGTTTGTCCCCATGCTTAATTAATTAAGCGCTATGCTATGAAGACATATGGGGAGTAGACGTAAAAAATCAAAATGTTATTGATCTTGGGGCTACTTAAAGGTGAGTGGTCAACTTCATGCCCCGTTCGCTTTACCCCTGAGGAAAGAGCACCTCGTTATCCATTGGATGAGAGGCCGGGTGGGCCCCAGAACCGGTCTGGACGCTGTGAAGAAGAGAAAATTCTCGTTCCTGCAGGGACTTTTTACTACACAGTGTAAACAAGAACATTAAAAATTACAATGGTGGTCTCCATTAGTCCAGAAATGTATATACACATATATACAAGCGAGATTTGTTCTTTTCTATATATTAAAATAAAATTAAAAATAAGAAACTCGTTTAAGTGAAAGCTTTAAAATGTATCCTAACTTGTTTTGTGCAGGGCGACAGGTACTCTCTGCTAGTTCTGATTCCCAATGGGAGGTCGGGCCTCAGTCAGCTGACTTCAGACCTCGCTGGCTATTCCCTAACGAACATACAGAAACACCTGCAGATCCAGGAAGTTGAAGTGTGTCTGCCCAGGTTTGAGATACAGACTACAACTAGACCGATCGAGGCATTAAACAAGGCATGTATTGTCAGATTACTTGCTGACAAATTTAAGAGTGGTTTATTGAGATAACAGCCTTTTTTAATGTGACATATTGTTCTTCGGTAGGTAAGTGCAACCATTTCGGAGAAACCTCCAAAAGTTTGTCGACTATGTAGTTCAGATAAAATTCAGGCTGATATTAAATGTCAGATAATTGCTATTTTTGTAAAGGTCGTAATTTTCGACGTTTGACATTTATATGCCTAATTCTCACCGCATGACTCTCCTTATCAATGTTCCCTCTGAGCCGGGGAGACAAGTGGGCAAGCCATGATGTCTTCAACGGAGCAACTGGGTTGGCTTGGGCAATTCGAGGGTGGGCAGCGATTTTCGAAAAAGGACCGCAAATATTAACGCTATCCCCATAAACAGGGTGTGGAGGCCCATAGTGTTGTGAGACGTCGAGGCTTCCACATTTTCTAGATAATCGGTTCACAGATGACGATGAGATTTTCAGCCTTACGAGCCGACCAGCCGCCCTTTACTCCCAGGAAGATTCCTGGTATTCATTTCTGTTAGAGGTTGAATCAACCCCAGGGCCATAGTGCGGCTGGAATGATTAGATCAATTGAAACAGACAGTGACCTTACACGAAATCGAATCCGCGACTTTCCGGCTTGTAGCACTGTAAATCAACCAACTACGTTACATAACAGGAATTAAAATTAGAAATCCCCAAAATAACAAAAATGTTTTAGTTTACTTTTTCAGTTTCATTTGTATTAATTCGAAATTGACTGTGTACGAAACCACTACAAGAAGCACGGGGGTGCGACAGCCGTAGCGCGGCCTCGTGCGCGCGCAGCTTAAGGGCAACATTGGTCTTTAGTATGGCGCAGATAACAACTAATCGTATCATTATTTTTTAATAGCAGAATATTTGCTCATTCAGGATGTAAACCGGAGACTATGTGTTGGAGTTCAACTTGTTTATCCTTATAATGAAACGATTGATTATGTTGACAGTTTGGTGTGACCGATATCTTCAGCAAGGAGAAGGCAGATCTGACGAGCATCTCCAAAGATTTGGGACTGTTTGTCGAGGAACTTGTTCAGCATGTTACTGTCAAAGTTGACAACAGTACCAGCAGCTATAACCACATATCGGGTGAGAAATTTTGAACCTATTCCCACAGAATCTTGGAGTTTTAAAGTATTATTTTCGGAAAGTATTTATGGCCCCTATGTAGAATTTGAGGTTCTCACAGCGGTGGTTATGAAGAGTTATATCTGGAATATAAAACTGTGTTCTAAACGTATGTTTAAAGTCAATGAGTGTTTTGGAGGACCAAGTCGCCTATATCTTCGGGATCGAAGAATAAACCAAAAGAGAAACCAGAGGTCCGAGCTCATTTCAGCCTTAAACTCCGAACCTGCTGTCTCACCTTTCCTCCGCTACCTAAACCCCTCCATTGCCCACCGCACGTCTAAGGCCCAGGCACATGCCTTCTCTCCCATTCTCCTGGTTTCTGTGCCCGTCACATCACACCACACCACTTATTCCCTGTCTTCCCCTAGACCAGCAAAAACGGCCCTAAAAGTGGTCCGCACGTGTGGCAATTGCTCATCATACCGGGAAACACAGAATATCAAAAGATACGAGATGCAGGAGTAGGAAAGAGACCCTGAAAGTGAACTTCTGGCTAGCGTAGGTACTTCCTTTCAAGATCATAGATTCTTTGGGATAAACGTAATTAGATTTGTCTGGGATATCTCAGGTTTCATAACACCAAATTTTATACGGTTCATAATCGCAATATAAAAGAAACCTCTGTGGTCTGTAGTCCGCAAGCGAACTATATAGACCGAGCGACCGCTGCTTGTCGACGAAGTTAGTGCCAACTTTAGCAGATAGAGGGTGTCGCGTGGTCAGAGCAACGAATCCCCATGGTCTTTAACTTCGGTTTTCTAGACCTGATCCGCTATTTCCTTGAAATAGCTCCTCAATTGTCCGCACGAGGCTGAGTGGACCCCATTCCAGACCCACTACTTCTCAGAAAATCTGGTAGCGCCAAGAATTGATCTCGGGACCTCTGGATCTGTAGGCAGGAACTCTGATCACTAGGCATCAAAGGCGGTCGTCCTCTTTCCAATATAATCCGAAATTCCGGAAAGCCGTTTGTTCTGCTTGCCACCTGGTTTCACTCTGGTTTCTTGCTTGGCTTATTCAACCCTGAAAATGGAGGTGATATGATCCTCTGCAACATTGGATGACTTTTAGTGGACTACATAGCGTTATATCCCTGAAGACACAATTTTTCATGACACCTACATTGCTTTTCGAAGTGCCAGCATTAATTCCTACAGTGTCAAGCCGCCATTTTTGTTCTTTGGATCTACTGTTCTCTCATGGATAAATAATAAGCATGGAAAACTCCATAAAAGTTCAACTGTAAAGGAAAATTACTTCCAAACCTTTTTTGACTATGGAGTTCATCAAATTCCGACAGATATCGCAAGCTGACACGTGCAGCAATTTTTGTGGAAGTCGAAATATTTGGAAAAGTTGGCACCTAAAGCAAAAAATGCGCCAGTTCCTGTGAGGCATGAATGAACTATAGGCAATAATTTTATTAAAAAATTCTGTCTATAGCTTCCACTATTATCTATTAAAACNCTCCGAAACGTCGGTTGAAACCACATATACACGGTGCCAAATCCCAGAAGACTGCTTTCTTCATAGTCACCGCCGTGAAAGCCTCAAATCTTACATATGTTTAATTTGACAGGCAAACCTTAGAAATATCCTCTGTCGCCATATTGGTAAACATTTCATACAGAATATGCGCATGCGTATGTTTATGATCCATCACATCCATCGTTTCACCTGACACTGCCTTAATGCCATATTATTATTTCACATTTTAAGAAATTTTATTAAACGAACTTCGATTCCAATAACATTATTTTCACACCAAGTTTCAGGATCCGTTCATAGGTGTCACTAATGCAGTTCCTACCTCAGAAAACGTCATGGTCGTCATATTCAGTGATTCAGTATTGAGGGGGTGGGTTTCCCCATGCACCGCGACTGATAGTCTATTGTACATCCCCCTTTTAATTTCTACCGTCTCCATCCCCTACTGACACTGGTGCTCGCTATCAGTCCCTTTCTGCTAACGAGGTTTCTACCCTCTACTTGGCAGTGGTATCTAATAATTAGCCCCTTTCTGTCAGAGAGGTCGTCCCTCCTCTGGCAGTGGTATCTAATACTTCCCCATCTATCGGAGGCATTGGAAACTATTTGGGCGGGAAACTTTTTGGCCTAATTTAGCTCAGAGGCCTCCTAGAGGCATGAGGTTCCTTTACGTGCCTCCTGGAGGACTTGTTCCCTGAATTTTTCCGCCCTTAAAAATTCCACGACCTCCGCCGGGTTTGAACCCGCGTACCTGAGTCATGAGGTGGGAACGTTACCCCTAGACTACGGATATATTACGAATATATTAATATTATTCGAGGGTATAAACTTAAGGACTCCAAAGGTGCGGAGCCATTTCATGGAATTATATTTGTGACAAGGGGCGTTAAATCCCTAGAATGAACCAAGTGTTATTGGGTGAGGGCTGCACAGGCATAATAGCGGAGGCTTATTGCTTCTCATGAAATACGAAAAGTTATATATGAGGCACAAAACCGCCTGAGGGTGAATCTGACCTCCATCTAGTGTCGAAGTTAACAATGGGTTGCGCATTACCTCCGTGATCACAATACGCCTTTACAACGTGGTTCTTAGGCATAAGGAAAAGGGTGAAATTAATATTAGGCGGAGGAAATATTTAATAACGAATAAACAAACAAAAAGAAAACTCCTTGGTTTTAGTCCGCAAGCGAACTATACCTACCGAGCGACCGCCGCTTCTCGGCGAAGCTAGTGTCAAATTTAGCGGATAGAGGGTGTCGCCTGGTCAGCGCAACAAATCCCCATGGCCGTTAATCTCGGTTTTCTAGACCGGAGCCGCTATTTCCTTGAAATAGTTCCTCAGTTATCCTCACGAGCCTGAATGTACCCCGTTCCAGACCCACTATTTCTCAGAAAATCTGGCAGCGCAGGGACTTGAACCCCGACCTCTGAATCTGTGCCCAGGAACTCTGACCACTAGACCACAGAGGCGGTCATTCAATAACGAATACAAGCAAGAAGTTCCGAGAAGAACTAACAGCCAACTTTCATTTGATACAACATGTACGGCATAGAAAACGACGCTCCCAACAATTCTTCGTTGCCGCGTGGAAGTGTTTACAAAGCAATTGCATTGCAACAATAGGGGATACACAGATAGACCCACACACTCCTTTGATAAGACACGGACCGCAAAGATAATGACGTCTCCAATAATTCTTATTTATTACATTCACTGTCGAAGGAATGTGTTTACCGAGCAGTTGCCTAGCAACGGAAGGAGAGTTACACTTTGCCTAGCCTTTGGCTAGCAACGATAGGAGGGATACACATACAGACACACAGACGTACGAGGGGGATTTATGCCCCTGACATAGGCTGAGCTGCAACATGCCACGTTTCATAAAGACTGGTTCAGGCATTCAAAAGTTGAAGGGGGGGGGAGAGGCGAAGTACACAGACATGCATGACAGGATGGAGATCGCATAAGCCTACTTTAGGAAATTAGGCTAGAGATTGGATCAATGTATATAACACCCCTGTCAAATCAGCAACAACTTCATACCAATATTCTGTTTCAGCTGGGAATCCTTCCGCCCGGTCAGGACTGTTGAAGCTGACTGTCGATCATCCATTCCTTTATTTCGTCCGGGACACTGAGGAGAGTCTTATTATTGTAGCCGGTAAAGTCACCGACCCGTCTTCTCTTCCTAAGAAATTTTGAAGATAACAAAGGAGATAAAGGTGCCTGGGGAACAAATGGTCGCATTCCGTTCATCACTCTAAGACGCTTACCGACGAAACAGATTCTCTTCTCCCAGAGATTAATAACAATGAACTACTACTGATCGAAAGTTTTAACGCCCTTTAAGAAACAGATTAATTTTGCTGGAAAACGTAATCATCGTAAGAATCTGTAACTTCAAGAAACTGAATTTGTGTAGATAACCTACAATCCCAGACTCGATTGTTGCATCAGTGTCTACTGTAATGTTAAAAGAGAGTGTTCATTTTATATTTGGTCCCAGCACCTCAGACTTCCCGCACAGTAATGGAGGCATCACCGGGATATCGCCGAGATCCGGTAAAAAGATAAACTGTCCACGCGATATTTTATTCCCTCAAGCATGATGTAATAATTAGGGAGACATACATATATTGGAAGAATGTTGTTTCGAAGATGAAAACTTGGAGAAAAGATTACTGTGAAAACTGGGAACTATAAACATCCGAAGGGATAACAACAACAAAAAAAGAGAAGTACAGTAATATACTTTGGTGTTCTGGTGAATTTATATCAAGATGTGATTTATCATAAATAATTATGATGTGCTGTATTAGGCATAGTGTGCGATTCATAGTGTTTCATTTGAAGCCTTTGATTAAGATAAATTTCTATGCGACGAACACTTCAGCTAACTGCAGATAAAGTGTGTAAAGTCAGGATATTACAAAACTGCTGTCACCATAAAGGAATACAGTGACAAAGAGGCACTCTTTGGGGGGGGATAGAAAATATTTAGCCAAGTTAGGTTAAAAAACACATAAATATTTCAGAAAAAATTATACTAAATTCTTAGTCTGCATGATAATTTCGCATCAAATTTACAGTCCGCCATTCCAATGTCTCTCTTTTCAGTTCCGTGAAATTAGCATAGCCATGCCATGTAATAAAAGGCTCATGAATTTAAATTTGTAAAGATATAACTAAATCAGTATTTATAAATTAAATTAATTGTGTGACATTTGAGGTTCTCTGGGGGGTTGTGAATAACTTCAGGGATGTGAGGCCGTATAGTTTGGCAGAGAGGGACCAACGTACTTCTTCTATCTTCTGATTTGTGTTCGCTAGATAGATACCCAAATGTTTCGAACGAAAATGATTCTACATGGCGTCACATCCACGGACAATGTATCTTAAATACATTTTGTACGAAACTGAATTTACACATGAATGCATTCTGTCTACATGTGGTAAGAAAGAAGTTTAGTAAACGAATTGAAACAGAGTAAACTTCAAATATGAATTCGAACTCTGACAATCAGGGATTCGACAAATACAAATACTGAAATTTTATAAATTAATGATATATTTAAATATTTTGTGTATAAAACCAAGAGAGTTAGAAACACCATGACATATAATATACGTATATATAACTGGAGGGAATAAATTTCGACACTAAAAACAAATGTGATCTTCACGAGATCACAATAATTGAGAAGAATTTATTTAAAAAAAATGAGAGAGAAATTGTACAAGTGACAACGTGAGAACAGGTTAGAGATCACGAAGTCACGGTGTGACACTCTGATATGTTATGCTGTTTAGTTTTACAGATAGGTATCAAAGTTTCGTAGGAGCTTGCTGTTTCCATCTTAAGGGTTAGAAGCAGGTTCTTCCGAAACGTTTGCACTTATTTATCAAACCATACAGTATCACATGTCACAAAATGACAATGGCAAGGGTGAAACTAATTTAAATTTCCAGGCTGAAATATATATATTTTGTAAATTAGGAATCATAACTTGTAACAAAACAACTGACTACTTTTGCAGCTGTAAGAATGAGCTATAGTACGCTGAGTACACTCCTAAAATATGATGATTATAGAACACAAATTCTTGCAATAAAATATGTTTATTAGATAATGTCATTGTTGCTAAAATGTGATAATTTAAAATATACGAAAAGGGTAGTATTTTTCTTCAAAGCTTTCCTTGGTATGTACAAGTAATTTCGATTAAAATACTCCTACCTCTCTACCCATTTCTTATTTTTTTCCTTACAATCAGTGATAGAAACCTTTTAGCGTATCTTTTATCAGTTGAAGCTGAAATTTCAACAACATAAATTATGTTATAATAAACACGTACTCATAAATATGGCTTAAAGAACTCCGTGGCATGTAGTCCGCAAGCGAACTATACCGACCGAGCGACCTCAGTTTGTCGGCGAAGTTTTTTATTTTTTTTTTTTTTATTCGCTTAGTGGTGGAGTGCAGTCCAGTTGGGTCTACTCGGCACGGCGGCCACTGATTGGCCTATTGTAGCCTGCCCCGGGTGATTATGAT